AAAATATTGTTTTAATTTTTTTTTTTTTTTTGTGTAATATATTTTTGAATTGTTTTTATATTTTGTTGTTTATTTTTATAAATTTTTTCAATTTTGTTGTATTTTTTCTATGTTTATATTTTGTTTACAATTATTTGTATGTTTTTAGTTTATTTGATTTGGGAGTGGTAGCTATTTTTCGTATAAATTTTTGTATGTTTATATATTTTAAAATTTTGTGTAGAATTCACTGGGTCGTCATGGTGCGGGGAAGAATGTAGAGCTTCTTAGTAGAAGCTATTCAGTGGAGAGGTCGGGGCATAGACATGTCAGATCCCGTGGTATTTCGGCCTCAGCTCGTAGAGAACGGATCCACCGTCGGGATGAGGATGACGATGATGATGCTGAGGAGGGTGACCAGGAGGAGGAGCAGGAGGAGGGCGCAGATGAGGATGAGGATGCGGACGATGGCAGTGGACCGTATGATGATTACGGTCCATTCAGTCAGAGGGTTGATGACATGTACGAGACACATATGGTGGAGGTGCGTAAGGGTAGGGGTGGTAGGTTTGTTAGTAGATCTGGCACATCATCTGCGTCCACTGTATCTGGGGCAAGCAGGAAACGGTCGAGGGCCGGTAATGATTCTTGGGTTGTTAGGAGTGAGGTGCCCGGTGGGCCTGTTGACGGGAGTGTGATTCCTAGCTTTCTAGGACACATAGCTGCCCGTATTTGGGAGGACCAGGAGAGGCCTTCAGTTACGGGGTTGTTGAAATGTCATACCCGGGAAAAGACTTGTAGCTTTTTGCGTACATGGGCTGAGGCTTGGCCGGCGGAGAGCGAGATGTTCGAGCGACTGGAGGGCACTGGGGTGAATCACGTTCCTGCCACCATGCACGATAAGATTGACAGTACGCTGATCACGGCTTTCATTGAGCGATGGCAGCCGGATACAAACTCTTTCCACCTTCCGTTCGGTGAGATGACGATCATGTTACATGACGTCGAGGCCATTCTGGGGATTCGTGTTGAGGGTAAACGACTTTGTGCTGTGGCTGATGCGGATCAGGCAGATTTGCTGGCGGAGTTGTTGGCGGTGGACAGGGCTGCACTGTACACCGAGGCGCTAGGTGTTTGGGAACACGGAGGTGTGAAGATCGCATCCGTGTTGCAGCGGTGTTTGTACCCCAGTGCACGTAGGACGCACGACGCACAGCTGAGTGCTTATGTTTTTCTACTCCTCGGATGTACCTTGTTTCCGGATAAGAGCGGCGGAAACAAGCTCAGGCCACGCGACATAGTGGAGGCGTGTGACCCCGACAGTGTAGGCCAGTTTTCCTGGGGATCGGCTACGTTGGCGTATTTGTATCGCCAACTAGGATTTGCGAGTCGGGCTGACGCGGCAGGTATCTCATGGTTGTGATACCCCCATTTAGAGTAACCAATCACTTCCCAACCATCACGACTCCGTAGTTGTCGAACCTTTACTCTGAACTCACACCCACAACCTTTCCGCTTTGTATCAAACCGAGTGGCTGTACGAAAATCTCTTTCTTCTCTTTTGCGATAACGGTCACATCTCAAAATGCGATCCATTCTACCATCCCGTTGAGATTTATGAGTTACTACTACCAAGCAAAATCCAGCTGCAATTGCAACCTGTTTTGCCCAATCAATTGCCTGTTGAGCTTCTTCGAATGGACCATCATGTCCAAATATCCCACTGTAATCATTTCCGTCTCCACCATATTCCTGCATCAATTATATATTACAATAAATACATTTAACGGATAATACATTTAATTTCTATATTTACACAGAATTAACACAAAAAAAGCATAATTATATATAATCAAACTTAATTTTTATAAAAACTCAATTCGAATTTTCAAACTAAATTTAAAAATATACCATTTCGAATTTTCAAACTTAATTTTTAAAAAACCTATTTCGAATTTTCAAAATTAATTTAAAAAAAAACCCATTTCGAATTTTTTTAAAAAATCATTTTCGATTTTTTTTGTTTAAAAAAAAATAAATAAAAAACAACAACAAAATCAAAAAAGAAAAAAAAAATTAATTTATAAGGGTGGCGTCTGCCAGGGCTGCCACAGCCACTGGACTGGCGCCTGGCAGGGCCGCCTCAGCCAGTAGAGTGGCGCCTGGCCAGGACGCCAGTCTGGTGGTCTGGGCGTCTGGGCTGGACGCCTCTCTGGTGGTTCTGGCGTCTGGCTTGGACGTCCAGGCTACGGATTGGGCGTCCATCCTATGCGCCGGAGCCACTCCGACGGTAAACCGTGAATTTTTACGGTGACTTACCTCGTTTTCCGTTGACGACGACGTACCTCCGGCGTCCCCCGCATCTCCGGCCTGCCCTCCGGTCTCCCCCGGCGAGCCAGTACGGCTCCACATTTTTTAAACCGAGATTATTTCAATTTTAGAAAATGGGCATAATGGTCACACCAAATCATATTTGTGGGCTTTATATGGTAATTTGCGGGCGATGTTTAGCGTTTCACATAATTTATCTCAAGTAATTTTTTAATAAATTAATACTGTGAAGATCTATATAAACTTCAAGAAACAACCGTGGTATTGAATTTAAGGGAGCAATCAAAGGTAAATTTTCTCAACTTTATTTATTGTTCATTTTTTTTTCCAACTTTCTTTCCAAAATTCAGTTTTAACTTTTTGTTGTTTTTTTTAAAAGAATATATATTTCATTACATTTACGTACAGAGTAGTATTTTATTTCACAAATAAAATGCAATTTATATTTAACATGTTTTGATTTTTTTTTTTTAAAAACAAAAATAAAAACAAAACTAAGAACAATCCAAATACACAATAGCACAATTCTGTAATTAAAAAACATATATTAGCCAAAAATTAATCCATACATCGCGCGGGCTAAATACTAGTTGTGATTAATACAAGGAGTTGAAATTAATCCTAGTGTTACTTGTTCCATGGTGCGCATCTATGTTACTTGTTTCTCTCAACTTTCTTTTTATCTTTTGAGTTAAGCCAACAAAAGGGTCTTATCTTCTTCATTTTTTCACCTTTCGGGTACTCAATTCTCTTTCTTTTCCACCCTTTGGGTACTCAATCAAGAATTCCGGTGAGTTAACTCTTGTCTAACCCACCGTTAATCTTAGACAAATTAAAACAAAAAAATTTAAAGCAAAAACAAGTAAAATCATTAAATTTGGTTCAAATTTTAAAAAAACAACGGTTAAAGGATGTTTGTAACTGTCAGTTTTAGCCAAAAATACATGGACTTTTTTTTTATTTATTTTTTTTTATTTTTTATAATCATTCAGGAATAAAAATTTCATGATAGCATATTTTTTTTTTTGGCAAGGCCTCCAAAAAAAACTTGTTCCTTATCATTACAGCTGCTACCAAATAATAATTCTAGCTATAATTTGACCATCTAAGTGAAAAATTAGAAGTAATAATTTCAAAAAAAATAAATAAATTAAAAAAGGTTAAAAATTAGTAATTGCAAATGCCTTCCCCTGTTTTCATTCAAAACACATCACTCTCAAATTCATAAAAATAATAAATTCATACAACTAATTACGCATCACATTTGCAGGGTTAGCATTTAAACTGCACATAACACATAACCTCAGTTGTATGAATTTAAACTGCAAATGTGATGCGTAATTATTTGTTGGATTAAATTTGTTGTCCTTTTCCTTAATGAAGCAAGAAGCCAAGATAATTTTGATGAATAAGCTTCTCTGATACACCACGAATGAAGAAAGAGAGGAGAATGCGTATGAAGAAACAAGGGAGGGAGAAGATCAAATAGGTTCACATTTTTAAAATTTTACTTAATTTAATTAACTTACTTAGGCCCTATTCACTTCATGTTAAAAAAATAATATTAAGTAAAATTAATTTCAATTCGGTAAAAATAAGTTCAGTTAAGCAAAAATAATTTCACTTTAGTAAAAATAATTTCAGTTCAGTAAAAAGAGTGAATTGAATGAGACCTTACTTGGTTAAATGTGTAAACTGATGATGTGTCATAATTGTTAACCAAGGGCCCTATCTTTTTAACCCAAGACCCTATCTTCTTTAAAATAATTAGTTAAAATTGGTCGGAATTTTTTCTTGAGTACTCAAACAGTGAAAAAAAAATAATTGAGTACCCAAATGGTGAAAAATTGAAGAAGCTAGGGCCCTTTTGTATGCTTAACTCTTATCTTTTGAAGTTAGAACTTAGAAGTATGTTTTTTTTTTTTATTTTTTTAGGAAAGAACTTAGAAGTATATTAGAAATCTTAAGTTTACTTTTTTTTTTTTTTTTCCTAAATCAAAATTCCAACATTTTATGGTGAATGGTCTTTTTTTTTTATTTTTTATTTTGATGCAAGCCGGATGGTGAATGGTCTTTGATACCCTTACTAACTCCCTATTTACCTTCTGGTAAATTCACTACTCCTATTTTCTTCCATCTTCTTCTCTCTTTGATCAACCAACAACGAACACTTCTCTCTCACCAGTCACCACCACCAATCTCCCCACCACTACAACCACCACAACCACCACCGGAAGCACTATCAACTGCGAAGCTGTAGGGACGACCATCGGAGACAGGCCCGACAAACAAGGAGGTAAGCTTTTTAGTTTTTTTTTTTAATAATTTTTCTCGGACAACATTACCGGCGGCCAAAACCGGCTACCACCGGCACCGGAAACCGTTCGCCGGTGGAACCCATGATATCCCGTTTTGGCTGCCAATTGCCGGTCGGAAACGGGCTACCGTAAGAGTAAGGGTAAATGAGAACATTTACTGTAAAATGTTGCGTTTTGATCAATTTTATTGACGGTATTTAGCGTTAATTAAACTCAAATTGAAAACGATAAAAATTGGGGTTTGTACTTTGTATTTCGGTTAGATCAATAAAAGTGGGGCAGAGACAAAGGGACTAGTTTGGTGAGAAATTGGTGTCATGAATGTTAAATCAATTAAACCACATAATTTTACAGGAAAAAAGAGGAGGTCAAAAAAATAAATAAAATAAATAATAAAATAGTGTTCTGTTAGTATTGAGATCCAAATCTGAATTTCATGATATTTTAAATTCATTGTATTTCATTAATTGATAACAAAAGGCAGCCTAACTCACCGACATGTTCTAGACTTCTAGTCACCCTCACTCTTCCCTATTACTCACTTGTTTCATTGTTTGTTCGTGTCGTGTTATAAATTAGTGATTGACTCGGCAATGTCTCGGGTTATTGCATAAACTAGTGGTACCCCCCGTTGTTAATTTGTTATATCACTTGTTTGTGTACTGTCCTACACTTTTATGTAGTGGAAGTCGATTACTGTTTGATAAGTAATTGCAATATTAATTAATTTCCAACTTCCAATTCTGATTTGAAAAAACAACTTCACCTCCATTGTTATTGTTCTGAAGAGAGATGACGGAAATAGCAGCAGCAGAAACGACGACAGTAGCAACAATGGCGGATAGTAATGGCGTCAATGTCATGGCTGCATCACCTCCGCAAGCTCTGCTAGAAAGGCTTAAGGATTACGGTCAAGAAGATACTTTCGCCTTCTGGAATGAGCTTTCTTCTGATGAACGCGAACATCTTATCAAAGATATTGAGGTTCTTTATTTAATTTTTTTTAAATTTTCTTGTACTGTGTTGTGCAATTATTCAATCATGCATCTAATTGAATATGTGTTGTTGATTTTATTGAAAATTTTTGATGAAATTTGTTCAGAGTTTAGATCTTCCGAGGATTGATCGGATTATCCGATGTTCGTTTCGTTCTCAAGGTTTGTGGCTTTGTTTGTATGATTAGTTATCAATTAGATTTGAAAATTGGAGTTTGAATATATATATATATATATATATATATATAGTTCTAACTTCTAAATTGATGCAAAATTTTGGGTTAAAAGGATTGCCGGCTGCGGCGATTGAGCCGGTGTCGGAGGAAATTGTGTCAACGGTGGAGCATAGGACGATCGAGGAGAGAGAAAAGTGGTGGAAGATGGGATTGAAGGCCATCCATGCCGGCAAGTTGGCTGTCATCCTTTTGTCCGGTGGTCAGGTAATTTTTTTTTTTTCAATATGAATATTATTTACTTGTATTTATTTTCTTGTCGATTATGATTATTTGTTGGTGTTGTCGCTGTAATTGTCAGTGAGCGATCGAAATCAGATACCAAATTATTGGTTGTGTTATTTCATAGTTTATGTTATTTGGTGATTAAGCTATATAAAAGTAATGTTAATGAGTGATAGAAATCAGATACCAAATTATTGTTGTAGGATTACTTTCTGATTGTTTGTTGTTGTCGTTTAGGGTTATTGTTTTTGATTTTTTAAGTATCATTAGTGAACAATAAAAATCAGATCACTAATATAAAACTGTAGGTTCACTTTTTGAGTGTAATCATGATTATGCGTTACATTGTCTTTCTTCCTTTGTGTTATCTGCAAGTTGCCTTTTATAGGCGCAAAAGCAATCATGATAATCTGTTTATAAAATTATGTATGTTTATCTGAGCATCTTTCATATTTGACCTTTTCAATTAATCTACAATAATCAGTATTAAAAGGCATATTGTACTCTGTATAATATTAATTTCCAAACAGGGTATGTAAATAATGCCCCGCCCTACATTATTTCAAATGCTGAAGATTTTATTATTTAAGGACCTCTATGTCATTTTTTAATTGATTAGATGTCATAGTTGAGAAAGCTATACTAGTGCGGATGCTTAAAGGACACCATTATTTTCAATGACGGAGCATAATCTTCGGCACAAAAGGAAGAACCAAGAGGAAATGAGAGAGATAGAGGAGAATTGAAGGAGTGAAAGGACCAAGAAGGGGGGGTGGGTACAGGATGACTAATTACATTTGTATAGAGAATTGGTTTCAGCTTAATATAATATGCAAATAAAGAATGCCTTTGCTTATTAAACTAAAGAGTCAATTGGAGGACAGTTGATATTATTCTTGTCTTGATTACTAAATGCAAAACTGAAAGGCTAGCCAAATGAAAAAGAAAATTGGGGGAGGGTGAAAGAAGAAATTTGTAAAAAAAAAAAAAAAAAAGCTAAATAAAAAAGGGAAAACAAAATAGAAGTTTAAGGAGAATGTAGAGTAATATCTGTGCAATGGTGACTTTTGTTACATGTTTGTCAATGTGAAATGATGGATCCACATTTTATGCTGTTTCCATTATTCTCGAAGTGCATATTCACTTAATTTTGTTGTCTGTATGATTTGTTTTAATTTGACACCGCTAAGACCCAAATATACTAATTTTCTCAAAATGCTGATACAGGGAACTCGGCTTGGAAGCTCAGATCCTAAGGGTTGCTTTAGTAAGTGACAACACTATTTTTATTCACTTGCTATATATTAAAGTCCTCTTTTAGGACAGAACTTTTTACTTAATGTCATGAAATCTTGTGCCTATACTTTTGTTATTCATTGCCTTATTCCTAGATAATCTGAATCATTTATGAACCACAAACTACAGTTACACTCTGTCACTTGCTTATCATGATGTACATTGGTCTATAGCAGGAGAAAAGTAAATGCTGTTTTCCTGTCTGTAACTGCCATGTGAAATTTTAACATGATTAGCATACTACTGAGTTCTATTTCCTGCCATGCGGTAAGGGACATTAGCCTTTCCTGTGTAGTGATGAGTGACAAGTTCTATTTCCTGCCTTTTGCTAGCTTGAAGTTAGTATAACTTAAGATTGTTTGATTTTTTTTTTTTTTCTCTAGCCTTGAATAAGGCTTTGATTGATTGATTTATTGATCTAGCCTTGAATAAGACTTTTATTGCTCTAATTTCATCCATTTGCCTTCTGTGTCACATCTTGTAAACCCCTATAGCATACTATTTTTCTTTAAAATTCTAATTTATTTACTGTGTTCCTTATATCTGCAAGTATGTTTATGTAGTGTGGATTTCATCATAATTGGTTTCAGATATTGGCCTTCCTTCCAGAAAGTCACTTTTCCAACTTCAGGCAGAGCGAATTTTGTGTGTTCAAAGATTAGCAGCTCATTTTATGAATGAGGGTAAGATATTTTGAGTTGAAAATGCCTTCTCAGTTTTTTTTTTTGTTTTTCTTATGGTATTCTAATTGCTTTTCGATTTGTACTCTTCAGGATCAGCAGATGTTGTACCAATCCACTGGTACATAATGACTAGCCCCTTCACGGACGAAGCAACACGCAAATTCTTTGAAAGCCATAAATTTTTTGGTCTTGAAGCTGATCAAGTAAGAGTTTAACATCTTGCTTCTCCACTTTTCTTTGACTAGCTTCACTATACAATTGCTAGTTTAAAATGTAGTTTTACTTATATGAGATGCATCTTCGATGTAGGTGACGTTCTTCCAGCAGGGAACAATACCTTGTATTTCAATGGATGGAAGATTCATCATGGAGACTCCATATAAAGTGCGTTCACTTTTTTTTTTTTTTTTTTTATTTTTTTATTTTTATCTTCATGCCTTAAAATTTTGATAACTGCTGTCATGTTTTGTATGTTTTAGTGTCAGTTGTGAAGTGTGTATGTCTTTATATCTGACCCAAGTAACTTCATAATGATTTCACAGTATGTGTGTTTATTTTTTGTGGAAAAAAATATTGAAATTTGGTTTAATTCTCTAACTCGCTAAAATAAAGTGTGTTATATATAGGAATTGGACTTAGATTATGAGGATATTATGAATTGAATCTCAGGACAAGTACTAAGTTCAATAATTAGCTCAACATGAGGGCTGTTGAATTAGACAGAGTATCCCTACCTTATAAAAAGTTTAAGAAAACTCTTATGAATAGTGATAGACATTTATATCCGTAAAAATGTTCTTTTACATGTTTACCCCAATTGAATTCAAAAGCCTTAAAATAGTCTCTTGAATCACCAAAATTGATTAATTATTTGTGTTTATTTCAATATTTAAAGCATTTTTTAGACTCTCCATTTTTTACAAAGTATATAATTATATGATGACTTGTTTAATTTATTTAATTCGTCTCATCAATAAGTACTAAAAATTACTATGCAAATAGATATAATAAAATACCATGCAAATATGCATAAGGCATGAAGACCACTAATAATAATTCTCCTTAAAGGGCTAGCCATCTGCGTAATAATCCCTAGTTTTTAAAAAAGTATTAAAACTTCCTCCATCCCACGAAGTTCTTCTCATTTACTAATTAATATAAATGTGGTCAAGTTCAAAACTTTGACCATCTTTGGTAATAAATATTTCCTTCATTTTCTTTTATTTGCTACATATTCCTTTTTTGGGAAGTTGAAAATAGCAACATTCTTTTATTTGGCCAATGGTTCTTTCTATCTCTTTCTTCATCACATGAATTATGTTGGAGGTTAATTCTGGCTATATTTGGTCAAACCGAATTAGCACTCACTCTCCAGCTTCTTGCTGCAGTTGAAATCTGTAACTCTTAGGAATGTAGTGGGCTCTGTCCAATCATGACAAATTTGTTCCACTGTGTAGCTTTCATGAAGACCAACACATCTATGCAAGTTTGCATAGGCAATTAAAACCTGGAGTGTGCCTCAACTCTAGTTTATTTCAGAAGCCTTTCTTCCTCTTATGCAAATAATGCTTTCTCCCGCGTCATATAGCCCCATGAGGCCATGATCCATGTACTCAATAACTCAAGTAGTCCAAATGGGGCATATGACCGGAAGAGTACCCTTGCCCTTCAACTTTTACACATAAAAGCAAAGCATTCAATTCTTATGACCAACAGTAGGAGAGGGATTTACCTTCATTGCTACACCCACATCAAATGCTAATATGGCTGCTATATAGAAACCTACGAGTATTTACATGCTGCCAAATGCTCTTGCTTTCTATGCATGCGGTTGACATTTAGACTTGTTAAATATATATATTTTTCTAAATTAATGGCTCAAGTGTCTTAACTCAGATGGCAAAGGCTCCTGATGGGAATGGAGGAGTTTATACAGGTAAGGCATTCTTTGCATCTCTGCATCTTTTCTGATTCAATGAATTCTGTTTATCATAATTTCAGTACCCATATCATGTCCGCAAGTTGAAGTGTCTGATTACTTTTGCTATATGAACCAGCTCTAAAGTCTTCGAGACTGTTAGAAGATATGGCTGCACGAGGAGTCAAATATGTAGATTGTTATGGTGTAGACAATGCACTCGTAAGCTCTCCTAATTGCTCTTTTTTCTTCTCCTTTCTTGTTGATATATGTGTTAGTTATCTTATTTGCGATTATATTGAATTGCTGATAGGTTCGCGTTGCTGATCCCACTTTCTTGGGTTATTTCATTGATAAAAATGTTTCAGCTGCTGCAAAAGTTGTAAAGAAGGTAATTTGAATTCGTATCATCGAGGTTTATAATTTGCTAGTTTATATATGTATTTTTAGTCTTATCTGTCTTCTTTAAAATTTTATGTCCATGGCTTGTATTTTGACAATCTGATCTCATGTTTTTATATCCCATCAAAAGTTGTGTAACCTCACATAACCATCTTCACCTCCACTGGCAAAACTGCATAACACAGGAAGAAAATTTCATGAGAAAATTTTCCATTGAGCTTTGGCAGAGCCTAAAGAATCTAAAATTAAAATAGCATAATTGATTACATTCTTGAATTCAGCAAGTCACTTTGGATATTGGTTTTTTACTTTGCAACCATAAAAGTAATGGCTTAATTTACTAGGCAAGAAAACCTGTAATATAGAGGAGTTACGTGTTTTCAGTTTTTGGTTTTCAAAGCAATGATACATGTTTGCTGCAAATCTACTGAGAGGTGTCGAATACAAATTCAAATGAAATATGATGTGCAAAGCTAAAGCTTATAAGATACTCATATAATATGTAAAATATAGCTAATTATTACTACATACATGAACATGGGGGAGATTGCTCTTTCTTTGACCAGTTATACATTTAAATGTAAAAATTGACTTGAAACAGAACATCTTCACGAAGAGACAGTTTATGCGATTACTATTTGTGGACCAAGTGCATTTCAAAGTATCAGTAAGCTGATATGTCTTTCAGTCCCTTTTTTACCTATTCATAATGATAGCAAAAGCAATTCAAAGTATTAGTAAGCTGTTCAGTCTTTCAGTCCCTTTTTAACCCATTCATAATGATAGCAAAAGCAATTTAAAGTATCAGTAAGCTGTTCAGTCTTTCAGTCCCTTTTTTACCCATTCATACTATTACAAAAACAATCATTCATTCACATATTATTATGTGTAATTTACCTTATCATAGACTTTTGCCTCAAACTTTCCTGCACGATGATCTGTTTTCGTCACAGGTATTGCTTCCTGGCCACCTCCAAGCACAACCTATAGGAAAAAAAAAAAAAAAAAACACACTATATAAGCAATGTATAATGCTGTAGGTGTTCAACAGTAGGAATATATATGAGAATATTACTGAATATATGAACAGTGACTTACGGAGAAAGTGATCGATTTTCATGGAGAAGTCATAAACCCTCGTCGAACATGTGGTAAAAAAGCTTAAATTTTTTTTATTATTTTTCTTCGAATCTCTGCTGGTAATGTTTGATGCGCCCGCATTTCTTTTCAAAACGGTCGTACCGGCTGATATTGTGTTTCTTTTCTAGATACATATATGTTACATACTTCGTATTGTTCCTTTATCGCGGGGTTTTAAAAAGCAGCATGCTGAACCGGTAAATATCGGAATGGTAATTTGGAAATCAATTACGTTTCGGCCGATTCGCGACGTATAGGCTGAGTTTTCGATTTCTTGCTGCAATGAAGCATGAAAGAAGATATAATCTCTATATCATTACCAAAGTATAAAAGCTGCAACTTAAATGGCAATAGTAGCCTTTTAATTTATTATTTGTCACCTATTCTTGATCTATTGTGCATGTTGGGATTCAGTTGGGTCAGGGGGATGCTTTGTGTATGTTTCTCTGCATGTGTTTTTGTCCTCCTGATGTGATACGCTAGAGTCAAATGCTATTTAGAGATAAGAAGAAAATTAAAATATTTGAATATATAAAATTCTGTTGGCATCTTTATTTGATGAGCCAGTACTCAATAAAGTATCTTGTCTAGGAGATTATTTTACTTGCAAATTGAGCAAGGACTCTTGACTTGCATAAAAATTGCACTTTTATGTGATAACAATAAATTCTGTCATCTTAACTTCCAATGTATTCTAGATACATATATGTACCTTTGAGTATATGTTTGTCTTGGAGTATATTTCATGTTCATCTGATGTGCAGGCCTATCCCCAAGAGAAAGTTGGTGTATTTGTACGACGAGGAAAGGGTGGCCCAATTGATGTGGTTGAATACAGTGAGCTAGATCCTTCAGTGGCTAGTGCAGTCAATCAGGAAACTGGGCGTCTTCGCTTTTGTTGGAGTAATGTAAAGTACTTTTGCCTTATGTCTGTTTTCTTTAGTATATTGGCTTAGAATATTAGCTTTATGAGATGAAACATATATTTCCTCATTTTTTTTTTATAGTTGCAACATTTCTTCTTTCACATTTGCCAATGCATGATTTCAATCACTAACATCTCTAAATATAACTAGTAAAAGTTATAAAAAAATTATTGAGGAAGTATAAATTGAGACAAATCTAACAACACCCCACATTGCTATATTTTTCAACATGTACAAATTGTTAAAAGAAATTCGAAGTGGGTATGTGATCAGTGCAAAGGTCAAACCGTTGCAACTAAAATTAACAGAGGAAGTAGTAAATTATGCTTCCTATTAATGCTTTGCTTGATTTTTTTTTTTTTTTTTTTTTTTTTTTTTTTTTTTTTTTGGCACATATCAGGTTTGCATCTCAACTTCAATTATGTTGTTTAGCTTCATGCAATTCCTATAACTAGACAAATTACAATTATGTGGTTTAGTTTCAGTTTCTTGATTTTTTTTTTGCATATATGCTTTTTACATGGGTATAATCCATGCAGCTAGCACCCTTAGTTTATATTTATGGGGTAGTGGTGATGTACCTGAGCCTTTTTTTAGGCTGGTCTAATGAGCTCCTCCTTTGCCTGAAGACCCGTCATACAAGTCAATCCAGTCGGATATGGTTGGTTAGCCTAATTTTCTAGGTTTAAAGTGTTTTTAATACCAAATGTTTTGCTCGCTTTCAAGATCACTTATGTCAAAAGAATTTAGTTACATTTATTTTAGTTCATCTGGTCGAGTCAAACTATTTCTATTAAAAGTTAAAAGTGTATATTTGTCAACATTCAAGGGGACTCTATGTATAATTTTGTAAAGCTAGTTTTAATTGGGTCCAGGTTGGGTCTTGGTCAGGTCAGTTTCTCACAAGGCAAGCTACATATCTCTTAGACTCTTAGTCCTGTCATTGGGACTTGGACTTGAAAAGGGCTATTAGACTCCTTATGCCTTTAGAATTTAAAACGTGTAAAATTACTGCTATAGTTTATGAAAGAATTAATTGTAATGTGTCCTGCAACTTGTTCTTCAGGTGTGGGACGTAGAGTTATTAGAAATTGACCAGAGTGTTTTGTGGTGCTATATTTAATTGTAACGTAAACTATCTTAATATTTCCTCTCCCTCTAATATATATGCCTTTAGAGTTAACCTCCCTCATAAATTGTAATTAGTTGATGTTCTGATAGGTTATCAAATAAATTTCAGGTTTGCTTGCATATGTTCACCTTGGATTTTTTGAATTCTGTGGCCAATGGACTGGAGAATGATTGCATGTAAGTATATATATGATGTGTGTTATTTTATCAAACATATGGTTATTTTTTTTTTTTTTTTGTTTATAATAGGATATCAAAAGTTTTTCTTTTCTGATATTTAATATTTTTCAAAATTCTACTCCTTGGGTTAGGCTCCATATTATGGTGGGTTTGAGCTATTACAATTGTTGGTTTTCTTGAAAAAAGTACAATCCTTAATGAATCATTTGGATGGATTTTGTAGTTTAACAGAAACGAATTTCAATAGGCCACATTGATATGAAGCCTAATTTGCTTTTATAAGACAACTATTTACTGGATTAGCTTTATTGTGCTCACTAAGGTTGTAAATATACTGATTAAGCCTCAAGACTCGCTAAGATATGATATATAAACTAGTTCTGTACTTCATCCTAGGTCCCAACTCCCAAAGGTCAATGTAAAACGTAAACTAAGCTTAACACTGCAACTAGCCGTAATCAAGTATGTGTAATCAAATTCTGATTTATGGTTGAGTGGGGGGGGGGGGTGAGTGATTTTTTCTTTTTCAATATAGCTGTTGGAAATTTCATACCATGGTTGAGGTTGCCACTTGAATTGTTGTCGTCATGATTCGGTTGCAGTTATCATTTGGCAGAGAAGAAAATACCATCAGTTAATGGATATACAATGGGACTAAAACTGGAACAGTTCATATTTGATGCCTTCACATATTCTCCTTCTACTGCACTGTTTGAGGTGATCCTTGTCTATCTGCTTTTTTTTTTTTCTCTCTTCTGACAGACCTCTAGCTATGAATGAGAATATAACACCCTTTTATTTCATTCTCAGGTTTTTCGAGAAGAAGAGTTTGCCCCTGTAAAAAACGCAAATGGGGCAAATTATGACACACCTGATAGTGCGAGATTGCTTCTTCTCCGTCTTCATGCTCGATGGGTGATTGCTGCTGGTGGCTTTCTTACCCATTCGGTGCCTTTATATTCAACTGGTAATTGCACCTCATTTTTCCTTAATAAATCAATTCATTCCTTAAGCTGGTGGAGAAGAAATTGCAAAAATACATATATTTGAAAAATATTTGAATTATCAATGTAGTTAAAAGTGGTTTGTTATTTTGTGTCTGGCTAAAGTTTGAAACACTAATTTAAAGGTAAAATCACTGCCTTAGCACATTCAAATCAGAAAATGGCCTTTGCCTTCAAGATAAAATCGGCTTTTTAAGTTCAAACCATCAGAACACCATATTTATTTTCTTCAACTACTAGAACACCTCTAGGAACTCCACATATCCTTCCCCTCTTGTGACACATATACCTGGAAATTGTAGGCTGATAGGTGGTCATTCATTTTTTATTTTTTTTCCGGTCATGCACTCTAATTATTGTATTCGTCGTTGTTCACAACTGTAAACCTGGTAGTGGTTTTACCTTTTTCTATTTGATAACTCTGTGGTTTTACATTGTTTTAACTCCCCCTCCCCCCCCCCCCCCCCTCCAAAAAAAAACACACACACACACACACAAGCTTGCCACTTTCCGAATTTTCTACAAGAATAACCTTCAAACCAATCTGTATTTGGAAATTCTTTTCCCTTGAGCGTTAATAAACTTATTTACTTTTTGATGATGGTATGTGCTCAGGTGTTGAAGTTTCTCCGTTGTGCTCTTATACGGGGGAAAACCTTGAAGCTATTTGCCGTGGAAGAACCTTCCATGCTCCGTGTGAAATCACATTTTAAATTTGATTTATGATTTGTATATCAGGCATGTCATTTTTTATGAAAAAGATTAGAAGAGATATAATCATACGAGTATGTATATACACTCAACTTCATGAGTCGAGAGTTTGAATCATTTTGGCAGATTTATTGTTCGATAAATAATGAGCTTTTTTGATGCACGGCTTGATGTGTTTGAATTGTTTGTTCGAGGAAGGCTGATTAGTGGTAGTGGCTCTCATTTGCGATGAAGAGTGAAGATTGGCTCAACCCATTAGCCCGACTGTTGAGAAACACTCAATACTTTAACACCCTCTTTATTGAGAGTTTTGGTTAGTTCAAGACTGGGCTCAAAGCCTCAACCCATGTAGGTTGTGCTCGTTAAGCCCAGCCTGTCGATTACTCTATAGAGTATAGAGCAGTTTTTAATCTAGCCTACTGAAAGATTTTAATCTAGTTAACATATACTGAACTTTTTATACACGAATAGATGCGTGCAGCGCGCTTTAGCTAGTTTTGTTATATGGTGTAGTAGAGAATAAACATTTTATTGCAGGGTTACAAACAAGCGAAACAACTATCTTTTTGCTACAAAGGCTAAAGTTTGTATTCTTGAATGAAATGCCACTTTAATGAGTTGGTCCTTATTATATTATATATGGATTACATGATCATGTTTTATTTTTAAACAAGAACCATTGAATTAATTACATATTGCTTTTTTGACTTGCATCTCTTCCTACATTGGAAATAGAATGCAAGAGTTATATTTACTTACTAGTTACTACAGTAAAACCTTAAACATCCCATCATATATTATCTTATCAAGTTTTACTTTTGGTTGAATATTTCTTAGGAAGTTTTATCACACATGTACTGGTACTAGCATTATTTTTACTCTTATGTAGCTAGTGAATGCGCTTCGGGTCGAGCCTAGCTAAGTAGCTAGCCCCAGGCATTTGAGCTTGACAATAGTTTTATGTTCAACAGTGTTTTGGTACATCCATAAATCTATTGTTGAAACCCCTTTATTCCTACATGATCTTCCCATTTACAATATAACTAGATTAGGTTTCTTGCCATGCACAGTAATTAATTTCACTATTGTTTATAATTCAACACAAAATTTTTAAAAAACAAAAATAAAATATTTTGTATAATGCATGTGGACAAAATATATAACCATAGTTTTTGTTTTTTTTTTTTTTTTTTTGTTTTTTTTTATGCATATAATGAAATGAAACATGTAACCTTATCTCCTCCCTTCCTCTTTCCTTTTTTTTTTTTTTTTTTTTTTTTCATTTTCTTACCTTTTCCTTCCACTTTGCTATCCAAACAATCCATAAGCATCCCAATGTCTAATAATGCAAAGTCTATATCAAACATGTTTTTTATTAACTTTATTACCTCCGTTCTACTAATATTGTCCCATATATTAAAAAAAAAAAAAAAAAAAAAAAAAAAAGATGTCCTATTAAGTTTGCCTCATACCCTATTTAGTAAACCTTCTCACTTGCAACTCCACTTGCCCTCTCTCTCCTCATCAATAATTGTCACCACCCATATGCACAGGCTTGCCTTTGCTTCTTTATGTGAGTTTAGAGTAATCTTAGTAGGATGGAAAGAGTAAGTTTAATTATCATTTGATACCATAAATGTTGGCATTGGACTTTGCTCGATACCATAAACAAGCCATTAGATTTAGATTGGATCAAATCTATCAAATTCTAATTCAGATTGGATTAAGTGAAAATATAGATCGGATTGAACTCAATATTCCATATTTTGAATTTCGATTTAAAATTAGTGGGTGTCCCGAGTAATGCCCTAGGCTATTATTGAAATACTTCATATTTTTCATATATTTTAAATAAATAATTTATACATTTATAATCTGTAAATTAAGGAAGTATGAAATTTATTTTATAATATTAATTATCAATCTATTTTATGTGTGCATAATCTAATGAAAGTATTGAATTGGGGCAAGCAAATTAATTGGACTAGAGGAGTTTATAAAAATGGACTCAAACCATCCCAATAGAGAAAGAGTTTGTAAGGGAATTGGATTTCATTAATGACAGTTTTGTAAATAAGAATTTCTGGTTTTTAAAAGGGATATGAATACCCGAGGGAGACTAAATCAAAAGTGGAGAGGGTCCAATTAGTGGCAAGTGGGGGCAATATTGTATTTTCGCTACTTTATTTGGGGGGCACCTGGGTAAGCAAAATGGAGTCCGTTATGCTGACTGCACCCATGGATAAAATTTTCACGGAAATTTCATCTCCGCGCGCATTATTGCGAATTTTTTTGTCTGAAACTTTTCTACTTTCAGCAAAGCAATTAAGAGAGAGAAAGTTCAAGTTTGAGAGAGAAAGTTAGAGCAAGAGAGAGAAAGTCTGAGCAAGAGAGAGAAAGTTCGAGCAAGAGCGAAAGAGTTGAGCATTGACCTCGTCTTGTTTAAGATAAATCTCAATTGAAAATCTGAATTTCTCTTTCGTGTATTTGTGTGAAAATTACTAATTAGTTGTATATTTTGTTTGATTAATTCTAAATTTAGAAGCATTTGAATAATTTATGTATTTTTCGATCACTTGTTTTTGTAATTGACTAAAATTGCTCCATCTGACTTGTTAATTGTGGTAAATCATTTGTAGTTGAAGACCATTAGTTCAATTTAGGGTTTGTGAAATTGGGATAAATTGGTTGTTTGACTGATTTGGGCATGAATTTAGGGTTTTAGATGAAGAGCAGTAACTCAATTCAGTTCAATTTAGTGTTGATGAAGCTGTGTTTGATGTAGAAGGACCATTAGCTCAATTTAGTTCAATTTAGGGTTTTAGTTGCATTAGCTCAATTTAGTTAAATTTAGCGTTTTAGTTGAAGACACCATTAGCTCATTAGTTCAATTTATGGATTTTAAGGTTGTCGTTTAATTGGCATGTAGGATTTGAACAAATTATGTGGCGTTTGTGGGGCTAGCAATTCAATTAGTGATACTAGACATAATGAAATCATAAATACGATTTCCAACCTAATGAAATCATAAACAATTGATTCACCTAATCATAAACAAAATGGGGATAAATTGAAACTTGTGGATCAACAAGTAGCTACTAAACAAAACAAAAACTACTTTGTTACTTGCTTTATTTGGATAAGTGATCAAGTAGTAGTACTTAATATCAAATGTGAATGAAATAACAAGCTCATTCAATACAAACATGTTCTGTGTAATTAAAATAACAAGCATGTTGACCACAATTCAAATTTCAATATATATATGTTCTATGTAATTGAAATAATAAGCACATAGATACTTTTAAGACCTTTCTCCATTTTAGCTACACTATATGCAAAATTGCAAATCGACTAAAAACTTTCAAAGTAGTGGAAAGATTGTCTTGTTAAAATTAAACTTGCTACGTTGTATCACATCAAGACCAACTTGTTACTATCTTTTTCAGATTATGAGGTTGATTATATTATTCTTGGTATGTATAGGTTTGCTTTGTGTTAAATTCTTGTAACAATGACAAAGAGCAAGGCAAAGAAAGTCACTTGTAGAGGTAGATGGGGGGTAAGTTGTCTTGTTAAATTCAGTTGAATTATATGCACATGTTTACTCATATTTTGATTAATATCTAAATTAATTTGTTGGAAAATGTGCACTATACTTGCAGAGGTCATTGAGGCAGGTGATGGTTGTTCGACCAGTTAATACAACAAAGAAAGCTACAAAAGAAGAACCTCAATGCAACTAATGTTGTAATGCTCAACATGAACAAAGCGACGATGAGCAGGAAAGCAGTTACTCTAGTTCAGATTATGCTATTGATTCCTCAGAGTCCTCGGAGGAGCCAAAAAGAGGAAAGAAAAAAGTAGCTGCGTCTAAGAGATCAGAGACAGGAGGTCTGGAAAGGCCGATGTTCCTGAGAGTTCTTCAGCAAAAAAAAATAAAAAAGGTCGTAAAGAGGTCAAGATTGCGGACCCAAAAATTGAGATATCTGCTGGTGATCGAGTGCGTAGTAAAGGTCTAGTCATCTACACTCAAAAACAAAGGGCAAGAAATAGGGTAAGCACTGCACGCGCTTATATTTGTGTAGATGTTGTTGAAGTGTTTGTTTTTGTCTGTTATAAGGTATTTACTTTATATAACGTTTCTATAAATATTGTAGAGCAAATTGTTTCTTAATTTACTGAAAATAGCTATACTTATGGTCTTCGCTCTACCATTTGCAGCCTCCCAATGTAATTTGTGGGGTTGATGCTTGGAGCAAACTGATAAATGAGCTTGATGAGACAAGAGTTATGGCTGTCAAGGGAATGGGTTTCGGTGGGTTGTTGGAAATTAAGCTAAATTTCCTCCCACGACAACTATGTTATTGGTTGATGTCAAGGATTGTTTGCGATGCCCTTATTATTGGTGATATGGGGTTCCCTTTGTGCCCCATCCAAGTTAATTGTGTTCTTGGGTTGCCTCTTGTACCGTTACAAGTCCCAAATGCTGAAGGCGTAGAAGAAGCAACTCCTGAGTTGGTTGATGTTGTTGTTAGTAGATATGGTATTTTTCAAGAAAATATTGACGAAGATGGGAATGTTAGGTCGATTGTCAAAATCAGTGTAGATGAAGCAATGACTAATATAGAAGGACCAAGGGAAGATAAAGGTGATATTGTACCATTGGGTAGTGATGATGATAGAAAAAGTTTCAGACGGCTTTCCTTATTGCTGCTTTGGGTTTGATTTTGTGCCCTACAACATATGGTAGTGTCTTGGCAACTAGCTTGCTGCCTGCTGTCACAGTAGCTTCCAACGCAGGCAATTACGATTGGTGTACTTTTGTTCTAGATTGGCTCTTAGATTATGCTAAGATATTTCTGAAAAAGTTTGATGCCAAGGGATATTCTGGTGGTTGTGGAGGGTGTACACTTTTTTTGGCGGTAAAGTCTTATTTTTACAACATATATTCTAATTCCATTCTCCTATACATTAAAATTTTGTGTTGGTGTTCAGATATTTTACTTGGATCACTTGAAAAGACCACCAGTTGAATGGAATGTCTTTCCACGGGTGATGGTGTGGGATTCTGAGTTGGTGCGTCGTGTGGTGGAAACTGATAGGACTAAAACTGAGGACTATGGAGAATTTGGTGTGAGTATGCTGATCCTTAGTAGTTGATGTATAATTATTTTGATATGTAAATGATTAATTGTCAAATGTGTGTTCTACTTTGATCTGCTTTTTTAAAATGAAAATCCAAATAAATCATTATTGAAATGGTTGACCTTTACATTGCTTAACTACAAGTTGCTGGTTTTTGGATGAATGTTTGATGGGTACTTCCTTATTCACTCATTTGATATTTTTTTCCTTTCCAAAAGGTTGTTGATGCTGCTTATGGGCATGCGCACCCGAGGCTTCCTAGGGATGGTAGGGTTACATACGTTGAGGAAGTTGCAAGCGAGGTGAATTTTTGCTAGTCTATTTCAAAACATTGTCATATGCTATATTACAATTTGTGTGGTAAAAGGTTATATGTTATTGTACTCAGGTTGTGAGGCTGATTGGGCTAGAGATACAGAAAATGATATGCTTAATGATAATTGGGCTGAAGGATGCCATGGTCATAATTGGGA